GAAGTTTCTGGAAATCCAACCTTGGCTCAACAGCGATGTCTAATGTCCAACATCGCTGTTGGAGGACTTAACGCCAAACCATGTTTTTAGCTACCCAAGCCAGACAGCGCTGTTGGTTACCTCAACATCGCTGTTGGGCTGGTTTAGCCAGACCCATGGTTGGTTTAGTCACGCCGTTAGCCGATGTCAAAAATGTAAGTTCTCCAAAATAAAAACCAAGTATTGAAAATGTTTGTTTAATGCATTTTGCTAAGAAATCAAGTAAGACATTTTGAAAACCACGTCATTTAGTTGAAAACCAAGGCTAGCCAAGTTTACGCTGTTTCGCATGGTTTTCACTAAACGACCAAAAGCGAAAGGTGGTTTTTGAAGCGTTTTTGTTGGAGAACTATTTAAATATGCCCAGAAATAAAAACCAGTCATAAAAAGTTGAAAACCATTTGGTTGGTTGGGACGCCAAAAACCAATGCCGAAAACCGAGAGCCAAACGCCGATTTCTGAAAACCGAACGCCGGATGGCTTGGTTTTTGGTTTGGGCGAACTCCAAGTGTTTTCAGGCAGGTTTAAGACTTAGGAAAATCATTTTAAATATGCAAAAAATATTTTGATGAAATGAGCCTAGAGAGCCATGTTTTGAATGTTTGTGCCGGTCTTGATCACATTAAAACCGACTCAATACAATTCTAAGTCTTCGTTCTTGATTCTTGGTTCTTGGTTCTTAGTTCATCATGCCATGTTCCTTCGCCTTGGTTTTGCTCAGTTTAACCTTGTTATTGTCACGGCGGTTTGGCATTATCAAAACCTGTCATAAAACGAACACAGCTTAGTACGACATAGGCGTAAACCTGTGTTCCAACAATTTCCCCCTTTTTGATAATGGCAAACAAGACGGGAATATGCATATCAAGGGATATTTGATTTTCAAAAAGTTGTGAAAAAGTTCCCCCTTAATTTGTGCTTAAAAGAAATTAGTCGGATTAAAATCAAACGGTCTTGTTTTTAGAGGCGTTTCCCCTTAGTATATGCATAGCCCTTTTCTTCCCCCTTTTGACATTTTTAAAAAGATAAAAGATAACTTTTTTTTATTGAAGATGGGAAATGGCGGAGTACAACGGAAGCATTAAGAGACATGATAATTAAAATAAAAGAGATAGAAATTCTAGGGGCGGCCTAGTCTTCGTCTTCGGTTTCCTCCTCGTCGTTGTCGACGTCCATCTCATCACCGTCAACGGCGTCGTCGAACTCGTCTTCGTTCGGGGAGCTTGACGGGGCGTAGGAGCCATCCTCTTCATCCTCGTCCCCGTACACTTGCCCAAAGAGCGTGCCATGGTACGGTGGGGGGACGTAGTTAACGCGTTGGAAGTATGCGTTCATGGCGTGCCCTTGGCGTTGAATAGCCTCGTCGAGCCGCTCAAGGTAGCCATCCATCCCGTCAACTTTGAAGTGAAGCCGGTTTGTGGAGCAATCCCAACAAGAATTTGTGATTTTGGGATTAAATTGGAATTTCGGGCACTGTTCACAGTGAAATTCCAGCTCCAGTTTCTGCCTTCCTTTTCCTCTGGTTTCTGTCTGCGAATTGGGTGATTCCCATCTGTTTTTCAGTTGTTTTGGGTGATTCCCATGTGTTGTTGAGCTGTGTTGGGTGATTCCCAAGTTTGTTTGAGTTGGTTTCTTGTTTTTCTGGTGGTGTTTGGCTTCGTGTTTGCTGTTTTTCCCTGGTCTGTTTCTTGTTGCTGCTGTGTTGGTACCACTGCTGTGTTTGTTGGTTTGAGCTATGGGCCACAATAAGAAGAACAAGAACAAGAAGGGAGCTAGGAAAAACAGCCACAACATTACAAACTTCGTCTTTGATGGAACCCCGGTTAGTGTGGCGAAGCAACGGGGGACTGCGAGGCCTAACAGTGGGCAGCAACTTCACTGCCCTTTGAGTGACAATGGCCAGCCCTCCACCTCGGCTGATATTAGTGTCACACTCAACTCTTTTGACACAATATCGGATGAGGACAACGCTTTGTCACCAACGCTAATTGGGGAAAAACAGGATTGTGCAACGAGCAAAGGACATGAAAGTAAAACCAACAGCCCCCTACGTACTTCTTCATCCACTTCGGCTAACCGGGATCCTGATGAGGGTATTCCTTTGAAAAAAGTAGAGGTTGGGGAGAAGGTAACAATTCCGGAAGAGGGATATCCTTCTCTTGAGGAAGACTGGGGGTATTGCTTAGTGGGCTGCTTCACAGGCCGGTTCCCGGGCATCAAAGCCATAGAGGATCTCATTTCCTTATGGGGCGTGCAATGTAAACTCCTCCCTCACGCACGTGGCTGGGTCCTTTTCCAGTTCCCAAGTGATGAGGACCGAAGGATTGTCCTCCAAAATGGGCCGTATACGCTCTTTGGTAAGACTCTATTACTTCGTATTCCTCCGGAGGATTTTCGCTTCAACTTTGATGCCTTCATGACGGTTGACGTGTGAGTTAAGTTCGTTAACGTCCCCTTGCGATGTTGGAACAAAATTGCACTCCAATGCTTGGCGTCAAGGGTGGGAACCCCCAAGCGTACGGACGTTGGTACAAAGAGACGGGGGAGGATAAGTTTCTGCAGGATGTTGATCCAAGTTGACATGTCTAAAGAGCTACCCACCGCATTTGAGGTTTGCCTACCGGATGGGGGTAATTACATTCAGAAAGTTGTGTACGAGGGCCTCCCAAAATATTGCTACCATTGCAAGAAATTTGGACATAACCTTTTGAATTGTAGGGTTCTCCATGCCCTACGCCTTAGAAAAAATGGAGAATTTGATGGCAAATTTTTGAGACACAAGGGGAAGATACCAAAGAAGGTCTTTGAGGGGGACAAAGCATCTACTTTTAATGGTCATACCCCGAAGAGAGCAGGGAAAAGGAGGGCTGGAAAACACACTGCCGCAGGCACAGAGGCCCCTGGCAGTGCCACTGCCGTGCCTAATCCAGTGCACCAGGCCCCTCCTGCCAACACGTCTTGCAGTCCTACTGCTGTGGCTTCACCTGACGGCATGGATAAGCTTACAAAACCTACTGCCACGCCTCTGGCAGTGGGTACTGCCGTGCCCATTGAAGCTAAGCGAAGGAAGAAAAAGATCACTGGTGACACACCTATTGCTGCTGGGAATGGTGGGCTGCCTTTTGCCGATCCTCCCACGTCTGTGCAGGTTGAGGAAGCCAGGAACAAAGCCTTGAACATGAAGGCGATTGATGACCAAGCCACCACCAAGACGGGAGACTCTGGAAAGGAAAAGGTTAGGCGGCCAGCTGTGGAAACTCATAACAACAAAGGTGATGCTAATGCCGCCCCAACAACAATGCCAAAGGACCAAGCTAGAATCCTTGGGAAACACCCGTCAACGGTGAAACCCTAGGCTGCCAAGACCACGACGGCTAAGGCTGGGCAGTTTGGGGACAGTGCAGTGGCGTCATCACCTGGAAAAATGATTGGGGAGGGTGTTGATGATGACCCGTCAACCTCAACCAACACCTTGCGACGAGTAAGGACGGGGCAAAAGTGGGAAGAGTGTCTGGACCGTTCGCTCCAACAAGCTTAGACAATTGATTGGAGAAGTAAACAAAAAGACACCCTCGCGGCCAAGACTTGCTCCGGACAAGCTTAGACAATTGATTGCAGAAGACCCAAGTTGCCTAAGGAATGCCTATGGTGATAATGTGGGCTTTTGGGATGGTAAAAGGACCATGGAGACAATGATCACAAAATAATAACACTAGTTCTTTACTTTGTGCTTTGTTTCCTTCCTTTCCTTTTGTTTGGCATAACTTGCCTTTGTTTTATAGGGGTATGCCCCGATGCTTTGTACTTTGTACTTTGTATTGACTCTCGGATATTAACAATTTACATTTCATCCTTGATGTGAAGCCGGTTGAGGGAGTCGACGATGGAGGCAAGGTTGGCCCGGGCCTGGGCTTCGGCTGGGCCAGCAGCAGAACGGTGCCGTTGCACGGCAGTGGCAGGTCCGGCGTTGTCCGACCGCTTCTTGAAGGCTTGGGTGCTGATCGCCCAAATCTTCGTGGCCTTTGTGAGTGGGCCAACGGTGGTGGTCACCTTGAACCATTCAAGGATGTCCATCACCACGAACGGGTACGGGAGGAGGTGATCGTGGTCGGTGGACGCGACAATCGTCATGTTGATCATGACAAACTTTGCCCAATTGATTGGGGCGGAGTGCATGATTGCATGGATGAGCTTGAGATCTTCACTGGACATGATGGTGTGGCCGTGCTTCCTGGGTTTGATGATCCGGGAGACGATGTAGAGAAGAAGACGGCCTTCGGGGTTAGCGGAGTGGATGGTTGGGCGGCCCGAGGCATGGCGGATGAGCTCGGTGATCCCAAGATCGTTGAGGATAAGGCCCTCATTGTTGAGCACCCAGTCCTCTCCGCCATAGAGGGAGATGTCGTCGCCTTGGTAGGGGAGGCCGGTGATGCGCCCAAGCTGCTCAATTGAAAGTTCTATCGGCGTGCTCTTGACAAGAGAATAGAGCACGTCACCCTCACGCCGGAGGTTGGAGTAGAAGACCTGAATCAGCACCGGGTTGATCTCCTTCCGAGCCCGGGAGACAAAAGGCCGAAGGCCGGCCTGATGAAGCTGCGCGTCGAGGTCGTCGTAGCCCTACAGCTTCGGGTAGCGCTCCGGGATGATCCGTGGAGGAGCCACAACCCTTTTAGAGAAGAAGGTGAGGAAACGGGTGCGTTCCTCCTCGAAATCAAACCAAAGGTATGACCCGTCACCATAGTAGAGGCGTTCATCGGTGGATGTCGTAGGCGCCCGGGATTTGGCCTTGGATTTGCCAGAAGCTCCTGCCCTATTCTTATCTTTGCCCATGATGAAAAAATCTCAAGAGAAGAGAGTAGAAATGATGAAATAAGCAAGGATGTCGAAGAGAATTCTGTTTGTGTGTGTAAAAGTGAAGAGAGGAGGTCCCAATTTATAGAGAAAGAGGTCTCCAACGTCCAGATTTTCAAAAATATGGTTGTTGGATCAATTAATGTTGGTGCCAACGGATATTTTTTTGAAAAATTTATCCAGAACAGCGATGTTCCAAAGGCTACATCGCCGTTGGGACAGCGCTGTTGAGATTCTGGACAGCGCTGTTATGCGTGAAGTTTTAAAAACAAGTGTTAAAAGGACAGCGATGTTGGGTTCCCTACAGCGATGTTCCAAATCATTCTGGAATTGTGTAAGGGGTTGAACTTATTAGAACAGCGCTGTTGGGTTTCTCTACATCGCTGTTTTACGATAGAAAAAAAATTTGTAAAAGTGGACATCGATGTTGAAAGTGGGACATCGCTGTTTAAAAAGTTTCTGGTTTTGGTTGAAAACAAGGTGTTTTGGGTGGACAGCGATGTTTTAGGTTGGATTACCGATGTTCAAAAAGTTTCTGGAAAGTGAAGAGTAAGGGACTCCCTGGGACAGCGCTGTTGGCATGTTGTACAGCGCTGTTGGCACAAACTGGTTGACGGTGTTTCTCTCAACAGCGCTGTTTGGTCTCCTGGACAGCGTTGTTTGCATGGTTCCCCCTGATTTCATGAACGGGGTACTTGCAAAAAAAAGAAAAAAGTTCTCCGACGCTCAAGTTAGTAAGCGTTTAATAAGTTTAGATGCATAACTTAGATCATCGTGGAGTCAAGGATTCCGAGTTCACTTCGAATGCGGAAGAACGACTCTTTCTCTGAAGGTTTTGTGAAAATGTCGGCTAATTGGTTGTGTGTTTCAACAAACTCAATTTCGACATCACCTTTGAGAACATGATCTCTAATGAAATGATGCCTAATGTCAATGTGTTTCGTCCTTGAGTGAAGAACGGGGTTCTTAGTCAAGCTTATGGCGCTAGTATTATCACAACGAAGAGGGACGTGATTGATACTAAGGCCATAGTCCACGAGTTGTTGCTTCATCCAAAGAATTTGAGCACAACTACCGGCGGCTACATATTCCGCTTCGGTTGTGGATAACGCAACACTGACTTGCTTTTTACTAAACCATGAGACTAGAGAGCTACCAAGTAGGTGGCAAGTCCGAGTCGGAATAACCAACGAGATGACAAGAAGAGCCTTTTGGATACCACAGTCCAACGTTTACCGTGCCGGCAAGATATTTCATAATCCGTTTTACCGCCGTTAAGTGTGATTCCTTCGAACATGATTGATACCTTGCGCAAAGGCAAACACTAAACATGATATCTGGCCTACTAGTAGTAAGATAAAGAAGGGATCCGATCATACCTCGATACGTTTTGACCTCTACTTCCTTACCTTTCTCGTCTTTGTCAAGATGATCAGACGTGCTCATCGGAGTCGCCATGGCATTGGCGCTGTCCATTTCAAACTGTTTTAGGAGCTCCTTGCAGTATTTAGTTTGGCAAATGAACGTGCCATCTTTCATTTGCTTAACTTGGAGTCCCAAAAAGAATGTGAGCTCGCCCATCATTAACATTTCAAATTCGCTAGTCATTAGCGTTGAGAATTCATTGCACAAAGACTCGTTAGTAGCACCGAATATAATGTCGTCTACATAAACCTGAACCAAAAGGATGTTATTGTTTTTACTCTTGATGAAAAGTGTGGTGTCTACCTTTCCCCTTGGGAAACCACTATCCAAAAGAAATTTACTCAAGCGTTCGTACCAAGCACGTGGTGCTTGTTTAAGACCGTAGAGCGCTTTCTTGAGTTTGAAGACGTGATCGGGAAACTCAAAGTTCTCAAACCCCGGGGGCTGGTCAACATACACTTCCTCTTGAATAAAACCATTGAGGAAGGCACTCTTAACATCCATTTAATAAAGTTTAAAATCCATAGACGGAGCTAAAGCAATAAGTAAACGAATAGCTTCTAAACGTGCTACAGGTGCATACGTTTCTTCAAAATCAATGCCTTCTTCTTGATTGTAGCCTTTAGCTACAAGCCTAGCTTTGTTACTAGTGATTATTCCATTTTCATCAAGTTTGTTACGGAACACCCATTTCGTACCAATAATCGTGCGATCATCAGGCCTTGGCACCAATTCCCAAACATCATTTCGTTTGAATTGGTTTAGCTCCTCTTGCATAGCCAAGGTCCAATGTTCATCGTTTATTGCTTCGGAAATGGTTGTAGGTTCAATTTGAGATCCAAAAGCCATGTGGATGGTTTATTGCATACCCCGCGGTTGATGCTGCCGATTACCTGATCAAGTGGATGGTTTCTGTGTGTTCTCCAGGCGATGGGAAGCTCGGTTTCCTCTTGTTCCTGGGCTTCCTCTTGTTCTTCTTCGTCCGCTTGATCCTAATTTTCGACCATCACTTGAGGTGTTTCCTCAGGTTGTGGTTGCGGGTTGGTGTATAATGGCGTGTCTTCTTCATTGTCTTCAATGTGTACTCTCTCTAATGAATCTGCAAGATCATCACAAATAGCCTTTCTCGCCAAGCGAGGATTATCTTCGGAAAATACAATATGAGGGGACTCCTCAATAGTCAAAGTACGTTTATTAAATACTCTATAGGCCTTGCTGCGAAGAGAATAACCAAGAAAAATCCCTTCGTCCGATTTGGAATCAAATTTTCCCAAGTTATCTTTGCCGTTATTATGAATAAAACATTTGCAACCAAAGACTCGAAGATGGGAAAGGTTTGGCTTTCTCCCTTTGTATAGTTCATAGGGCGTTTTCATGAGTATTGGTCGAATGACGGCTCGGTTTAACACGTAGCTCGCGGTACTCACGGCATCCGCCCAAAAATACTTAGGGATTTTTGCCTCATTGATCATAGTTCTAGCCATCTCTTCGAGACATCTATTTTT